TATTTTTTTTTTAGTTTCGGCAGTAGTTCAAGTCCAGGATGAACTTGTGTAGCCCTAAATCCATCTAATAAAAAAAGAACACATGGACAACAGAATTTTTTCATTTATTTGTTAATTAAGAAAATAATAAATAAATCAAGCTAACATAAAAGGTAAACTCCCTGTATTGTATCAGCCCAGCGTCCCTCACAATTACGTCTATATTTGGGAGACGTCCGAATCTCACAATTTCCGTCCAATGCCAACATTTGTTAGTGCCAATGCAGGAAGTAGGTTTACAGGTGGAAAGTAAGGGTGGGATGGGCATGTATCTCATCTGACTTTCCCGCAGGAGACGGGAGTTCGCCTTGCAATTACATTTTATCAAACATAACCATGATCTTTCCATGACTTTAACCATAATGCATTAATTGATTTGGGTTTGGTTTCAAATAACTACAGTAAGTTTCAAATAACTACAGTAAGTCGAAAGCAGCAGCGAAGCGGATCTGGTTCCTCACGGACGTTTCCGTGACAAATAAGACCGTTATATAACGTTGACTTCTGGTTTCACACGGGAGAAGAACAGCAATCTCCTGGGTGAAAGTTCTGTGTTCTCAGGCTCACCCATCCACCCTAGCCTCCTTCCTACATTGACCTTGTCCCTATTCGTATACTACGCCACCTGTCTTGGCTCACAAATGCTTTGAAATGCATTCAAATTGAATACATGGGTTATACACGAATTACAGTGTATGAGCACAGCCTGCGTTACTATGGGAATGCAACGCTAAATAGGTGGAGTGCTCTTTAATAGTCTGACAGAAAGTAAATACTATGACCAATGGGCTGTGTGCGAGTGCATGGATGTCAAAGTTAGTAATCTAGAGAGGGAGTATGATATTAGAGTTCAGCAGAAATGTGTGTGTGTGTGTATTCATATGTGTGTGTGTGTGAGAGAGGAGGCTGGACTGGAACGAGAGAGGGCTGCAATGAGATTAAGAGACACGTGTACAGGTGCTGAAAGCTGGTCGGGATCAGTGCAACGAGCAAGATGTTAAGGCAGGGGGTTTCTTTTCCACCCACTCCCCTCCTCAGCCCGTGTCAAACCCACCTCCTCCCCCTTTAATCCCCTTCCGCCCCCGATAAGCCCCCCTCCCCACCTCCTATATACACACACACTCTAGCTTGCTACCCTCGAAATCTGCTCCCGTGCAATCTTCCCTGCGCATCAGCTGCCAAATGAAGTTCCATTTTAGAAAAAGAAAAAAAAATACCAACTTGGGCGTCGTACCTCCCGAGGCGGGCGGCGGAGGCGGCTGGCCCTCGTCTTGAAGCCAATAATCCGGCGTCGGGGCTTCAGGTGCGCGGAGGGATGTGATTGACAGGCCTCGATATGAGGCCCCTCGCCTCACTTGACATTTGGGTTTCATAAGGTCTGGAACAAAAGGCAGGGGCAAAATAATCAGAGAGGGGCGCAGGCAAATAAATCTGTTTATTCCTCCTCACCTGACCCCCAACCCCTCCCATACCACTGCGCCTCCACATCACGGCTCAAGCCCTTGGAGTAGGGGGGGGGGGGGGGGTGAAAGAAGGAGGAGGGCTTGATATTACCTTGATATCGGAGCCTTGGATTCACGCAGATGACAGCAGGTCACTTTAGGCCCCCGTGCTTACCTGAGATATTAGTTTGTATGTGCGGTAGATGGAGGTGTGTATTTGAATGGCTGAGGCGCTGGCTATGTGTGCACACTCCACGTGTACGTATGTGGGGGAGAGGCAGAGACAACAGGGAAGACAGAGAGACAGGAGTGGACAGACTGAGGGAGGATTGATAGGGGTGTCATATTGTGGATAACCGTTTGTACGCCCGCGTGTGTTTTAAGTGAGACAAAAATAAAAGGTAAAGCGATGATAGAAGTCCTGCTGCTTTTGCCGCGTTAAAGCAGCACAGCGGCTTTTGTTAGGCACACGTGCAGTAAACGTCAGCTGCAAGAGGTGGCGACAGATTCAGAGAAGGAGAGAAGGAATGAGGATGATTGAGATTTTAAGACGCAGTCGGTTAGTGCAGCTAAGTGACTGGACGCAGTGTGTTTCATTGACCCACATGGGTGTGTGTCAGTGAGAGAGAGAGAGAGAGAGAGTCCTGTAGACTGAGTCTAAATTAACCCAGCAATGTGTCCTTCAATTGGATTGTAGACCAATTAAAACCCTTTAAGTCATGACATTCCCTTACTCACATTTTCTGCGACTTCCTTCCACTCCTACTCCACTAGCCTACAATTTTGTCCACACGTTTATTTGATAACTTTAGTAACGGGTCATTTTGCAGATTCTGTTATTAATACAAAATACAATAAACAAATACATGGTACATCATTACAGGTTAAGATTAGACAGATGGGCCAGATGGGAATTCCACAGCCACCCGGCTGTGTATAGAGTAAATAAAATCAGCGAAGTGACGTACACATTAATGCATCAATTATTATAATCTGATCATGAATATATATACAGTGTATATATACAGTGGGTACGGAAAGTATTCAGACCCCTTTAAATTTTTAACTCTTTGCTTCATTGCAGCCATTTGCTAAAATCAAAAAAGTTCATTTTATTTCTCATTAATGTACACTCGGCACCCCATCTTGACAGAAAAAAACAAATGTAGAAATTTTTGCAAATTTATTAAAAAAGAAAAACTGAAATATCACATGGTCATAAGTATTCAGACCCTTTGCTCAGTATTGAGTAGAAGCACCCTTTTGAGCTAGTACAGCCATGAGTCTTCTTGGGAATGATGCAACAACCTTTTCACACCTGGATTTGGGGATCCTCTGCCATTCTTCCTTGCAGATCCTCTCCAGTTCCGTCAGGTTGGATGGTGAACGTTGGTGGACAGCCATTTTCAGGTCTCTCCAGAGATGCTCAACTGGGTTTAGGTCAGGGCTCTGGCTGGGCCAGTCAAGAATGGTCACAGAGTTGTTCCGAAGCCACTCCTTTGTTATTTTAGCTGTGTGCTTAGGGTCATTGTCTTGTTGGAAGGTGAACCTTCGGCCCAGTCTGAGGTCCAGAGCACTCTGGAAGAGGTTTTCTTCCAGGATATCTCTGTACTTGGCCACATTCATCTTTCCTTCAATTGCAACCAGTCATCCTGTCCCTGCAGCTGAAAAACACCCCCATAGCATGATGCTGCCACCACCATGTTTCACTGTTGGGATTGTATTGGGCAGGTGATGAGCAGTGCCTGGTTTTCTCCACACATACCGCTTAGAATTAACGCCAAAAATTTCAATCTTGGTCTCATCAGACCAGAGCATCTTATTTCTCATAGTCTGTGCGGGCTATGCGGGCTTTCATATGTCTTGCACTGAGGAGAGGCTTCCGTCGGGCCACTCTGCCATAAAGCCCCGACTGGTGGAGGGCTGCAGTGATAGTTGACTTTGTGGAACTTTCTCTCATCTCCCTACTGCATCTCTGGAGCTCAGCCACAGTGATCTTTGGGTTCTTCTTTACCTCTCTCACCAAGGCTCTTCTTCCACGATTGCTCAGTTTGGCTGGACGGCCAGGTCTAGGAAGAGTTCTGGTCGTCCCAAACTTCTTCCATTTAAGGATTATGGAGGCCACTGTACTCTTAGGAACCTTGAGTGTTGCAGAAATTCTTTTGTAACCTTGGCCAGATCTGTGCCTTGCCACAATTCTGTCTCTGAGCTCCTTGGGCAGTTCCTTCGACCTCATGATTCTCATTTGCTCTGACATGCACTGTGAGCTGTAAGGTCTTATATAGACAGGTGTGTGCCTTTCCTAATCAAGTCCAATCAGTTTAATTAAACACAGCTGGACTCCAATGAAGGAGTAGAACCATCTCAAGGAGGATCAGAAGAAATGGACAGCATGTGAGTTAAATATGAGTGTCACAGCAAAGGGTCTGAATACTTATGACCATGTGATATTTCAGTTTCTCTTTTTTAATAAATTTGCAAAAATTTCTACATTTCTGTTTTTTTCTGTCAAGATGGGGTGCTGAGTGTACATTAATGAGAAATAAAATGAACTTTTTTGATTTTAGCAAATGGCTGCAATGAAACAAAGAGTGAAAAATTTAAAGGGGTCTGAATACTTTCCGTACCCACTGTATATATATATATATATATATGACATATATTATTCTGAAATGGGCCATTCTGCATCATGAGTACTTCTGTTACTCTAAGTAAATTTGGATGCTAATGCTTTTGTACCTTTAATAGAGTAACATTTGAATGCAGGACTGTGTGTGTCTGTCTACACTGTGGTATTGCAACTTTTTACTTAAAGGGACAGTACACCCCAAAATCAATAAACCATGGTTGAAAAGAAAATAGTTCCGACATGAAACTGCTCATAACAACGTGGATTATCTTTAGTAACCCGGTCATGATTTCTGGAAAAAAACAATGCAGTTCAGTTTTTTGAACGTACATTTTTTTTATGCTTTGTCAAGCCCAGTGCCATATAGTCCCATTATAGAAGGGAACTCGCACTGAAACAATCTTGACTGACAAACAGCACTTCAGTAAGAGGGAAACTATGTGTTTTTGACTTTTGGGGTGAATTGTTTAAGTAATACATCTGCGTACCTTCTCCACCACTGCCAAACTGCAGGGGCATCTAGAAAACCTTGTTTTAATTGGTGATTCAATTAAAAAAAAACAAAAAAATGGAAACACCTCGGGGCCATACATTCGCTTCTACCTGCAAGCCTCTGTAAAACAACCATAAATCAACAGATAGTTTCCAGATTAATCCCTGTGACATCCAAACCGAGCCCCCACGTGGGGAGTCTGCATGAATTGCATCCCGTCGGAGGTGATTGGACGACACATCGATGATTGGCACGAGGATGGAGCGCAGCGCGGTCACTCATCCGTCGCCATTGGTCGTCTGTAATGGCCGCTCCTCCCTCAGACCGCACGCCATTGGCTTTGGGGGGGAAGAGGAGGAGGAGGAGGAGGGGGGGGGGGGGGGTCTTGGGGAAGTTGTAGTTCTTCGCAGCGGACGCACATCTATAGTGCTCATTATCGACTAATATGAATTAAACTACACGTCCCAACGTCGCGCCACGGGCTCTCGTAGTTGTTGTGAACGTGTATTTTGCGCTCGCACGACCGGTTGCTTCTAAATTTGGCTCCGCCAGCGAGCAGGGCTGCTCCAGTCGACGAGGTGGTCTCCCCGCCGGTGCCGTCACGAGGATGTGAAACATTAACGGGGGTTCTGTAGGGAAATTAACCGATGCGCCGCGTGACGACGGGGCGCCGTGATAGAAGCTGAGTCGCGGACGAGCAAGGTCACGACGTGTCAAAAGTCGCTGCTTTGCAGAGTAAAATCTGAGAAAATAGAGGATTTCGTTGTTAGTTCAGAGGGAGAATGTTCAGCATTGTGCGCATAGACTCACGCGCTGGAGATTTTGGAGAGGACTGAGACAACTCCTGCTTTGAATGTCACACCGAATCGACTTTTGCAATACTGTCTGAACAGAACGATGGTCGGCCGGAGGTCCGAGGATGTTTCCACTCTTCACGGAACCAGCACATCTAGCCCACAAACCGGCTACTGACTGACCCCTGTTTTTTTTTTTTTACGCACGGGGAGAGAGATATCCGTGCCCGCACGTTTTGTTCCCCGTGTTTATGTGGATACACTTTGCGTTCCACTTTTAAATGATTCGAGATCTGAGCAAGATGTACCCCCCGGCACGGCATCCGGTAAGTAGAGAGAGAACGGCATCGGCCGAGGTAGTGTGTCAAAAACAGCGCGGATTAACAGCCACGCGCCTGGCGCGTAATCAGTTTAGATCCAAGTTTCCGTGCCACTGCGCGCTCGCACGGACAATTGCGCTCATTGTCAAACTGCTCCAGCTGTGTGTGTGTGTGTGTGTGCGCGCGTGTGGCCTAACGTGTAAAGAGACTGAGTGAAACCGAAAGGCCATCCATATCACAGAGGCCTATTGTCATCTACAGTCTTGCCTGTCTGTGTCTGTGTGTTGTGACACTGAACTTTGGTGGCTCAGTTCTTCCTCTCTCTCTCTTCCCCCCCTTCCCACACACGCCCTTTGCCTTTTGGTTGAGGTCCCCCACCAGCCGGGACAGCCACTAAAGTTCACTGTCACCGAGTCCTGCGACCGGATCAAGGAGGAGTTCCACTTCCTGCAAGCCCAGTATCACAGGTGAGTGGTTTGGATGGAGCATGACGATAACATGGAAACACCTGCTCATCGGCAAAACTGTGAGAAAAATATTAAAGCAACGTTCCAGCTTTGCATTGGGGCTCATGAGTGACTACAAATCTGATCATGTGTGTTTTTATGCAACCTCATTATAGCTGCATCAATTAGTCCATTAATTTTTGTAATTGGCATTTTCAAATGATTCATTGAGAAAATAATCTGTAGATTAAATGATAATGAAAAGGATGGTTAGTTGGAGCCCTAGTCCATATTAATTAATGTCAGAGGTGTGGACTCGAGTCACATGACTTGGATTTAAGTCATGCTTGAGTCTCAAATTTGATGACTTTAGACTCGACGAAAAACAAGAAAAACAAGATTTGCAACCCGACTCGGACTTTAACATCAATGAGTCGTGACTTCACTTGGACTTGAAATTACTTGATACTTTCCCCCAAAGCCCAAAAATTAAAAAGTATGTCACGAATCAATTAATTTCCAGGGTAAACTAATGCTACTCATTCCATTATATTTATTATATTTGGTGAAGAGAACACTATGACTTGTTTAGGACTCAAAATGACAGAATTGGGACTCGTCAATCTTGACTTTGCAACTTGTTAGTCATGGGACATGGATCAGGATTTGTACTGAGACTTTTCAAGTCTTGACTTGGGATTTGTCTGTCTTGACTTGGGACTAGTCAGTTTAGACTTGTCTCTTGATTTGCCTCCCTTGAATTTGGATTTGCTTGACTTGTGACTCCTGATGTGGGACATGCCTGTCCTGACTTTGGACTTTACTAGTCTCGTCTCATTACATTACCGTCATTTAGCAGACGCTTTTATCCAAAGCGACTTACAATTCAGATTCTATCACATCGTAGGCACAGCTACGGGAGCAATTTTGGGGTTAACTTGCTCAAGGACACATCGGCATGTGACTATGCCGGAGCTGGGGATCGAACCGTCGATCCTCTGATTGAAGGACGGCCCTGCTCTCCACTTAGCCACAATCGCCCTACTCAGGGACATGAGTGCAAAGACTTGAGACTTATTTGTGACATACAGAACAATGACTTGGTCCCACCTCTGTCAACTGAACCCTCCAGATGATGTGGAACAAAAGGTCATTTCCGTGATGTTGACCTCTCTTGCACCGGTCATGTATAAGCCACACTGTCAGACCAAAAATGTTTCAGGAAAAGTCACCATGCAACGGCATGAAATACAAGACCGCTGCTGATTTTTTTAACGAGTATTTGACCGAGAAACAAAACATCAGTATGAGGTAGACGTCCGTCTGGAGATCCCATGAAATGATCCCCCTCAGACACCTGAGAGCCAACATGCTGCTACTTTTTGTCCGTAGGTGTGACTAACCACAGGTAAACCCCATCATCCTTGGTATGCACGTCTCTCTGCAAACCCAAGTGGTGTGAAATGCTTTTTCACCCGACATGATGAAGTGTGAAATACATTGCTGGGGGGGCAGAACCGTAAGCGCGATACCAATGCATAATAATCGCCCACCTCTGGCCTCCCCCGTAATTATTGCCCAATCACCAGGTGGGATGAACTGGTGGTCCAGTTTGCCGGCCAATCCCGGGGGCCGAATGAGCTGAACCAAGGATAGTGTCTGCTGCATGCATAAGACTGTGATCATCCAAACAGCAGCGAGACACACAGATTTTTAATTTTTTTTAAATAAATAAACAAGGGAAACGATATTCACACTGAATACAGAGTCTTATGTTTTTATGGATGTCTTAAGTTTAAAATATTTGTGAAAGTTATCTAATCTCCCGTCTATCTGGAGAAGCATATTTACATTGATATTGTGGAAAAACACATCATCATCAAGCTCAAACAGAGGCTCATCTCAACGTATTAACGAATCAACGTTTTAATCACTCTGTGCCAAAATTCTTCACTCGATTCTATAATTTATATTTCAGTCACATGTTAAGGATCTATTTGTTCCGCATTCAGCACACTAGCATCCGGACTTTACCTGAAACATGATGTGTGTAACAATTATGTGTAAAAAGCTTGCTGCCGTGATATGCGGAGGCTTTTTTTTTCCATTAACAGACAACAGTGGAAAGAGTTAAGCCTCTGCCTAACCACAGTTGTAAAATGCATCCTCATTACACGGTTGCCTTTCTGTCGATGGTGCAGTTTGGGCATCCACTCACACTGTAAAGAATATATGATGAGGTTCGTGCGGTCGTTTATTGATCCATTAATTACTGCACTGCACCCTGCTGAGTAAGTGTCTGTGTCTGTAGGGACCCGAGCAGCTCTTTGTTTTTCTTGCACTCCAAAAGTTTCGAAATGTAAATTTAAAACCACAGGATGACGTCACTTTTCCGGCTCGCTGTTCATCTCCAGTTTCATTTTTTATCTTTTTTTTTTTTTTTTTTTCAAAGTCATATTTTGTGAATTTTTTACAAATGTAACATTTTCCTTCTGCCCCACAGTCTGAAAATGGAGTGTGAGAAACTGGCCAGTGACAAAACGGAGATGCAGAGACACTATGTCATGGTGAGTCTCATCGAGTGTGTGTGTGTGTGTGTGTGTGTGTGTGTGTGTGTGTGTGTGTGTGTGTGTGTGTGTGTGGGATGTGTGTGTGTGTGTGTGTGTGTGTGTGTGTGTGTGTGTGTGTGTGTGTGTAAACCCATCAGTATTTCTAGCTCTGTGCCAAAAGAGCAACACGTTTGTTTGACCCTGCTTTGATCTTTGTGTTTGATTTATTTATTTTTTTTAGTACTACGAGATGTCGTACGGACTCAACATCGAGATGCACAAGCAGGTAGGAAATGTTTTTTTTTCAACTTGAATATTGAAAAGAAGTAAAACCGATTCAAACCACACTGTAGTGGGCGTCAGAGGAATGCATAAAAAACGAGATCAACGTGATGTTTTTTAGTTCTCAATTTTGATTTTGAAATCTGTAGTTGCTGCTGATTTCTAAAATATTTATCGTGGTCTGTGAGGTTGGAGATAATTTATTCATCACCTCCGGTGCTACGGGGTTCATCGCTAGAAAGGCCAATCTGCAGTCACTTGATGGCAGTTTGGAATAAAAAAAATTAAAAAAACTGAAATAGCTCAGGTTTCAAAATGTACCGCCACTTTTTTTGAGGCCCCACTCTTTATGCAAACTGCAGATAATATATGCATTTTAATATTTTTTTTCATCTCCTTATAATGATCTCTTCTTCCAGTGTTTTTTCTGGTGTTGACCCCAGTTTTGGCCTGTGATGTGTCACAATCAAGCTACAGAGCTGAGCATCTGGTTTCCCTAAAAAGATCTACCTGGTGATCTTTTTTGAAACACACTTTTTTAGAAAGACATTTACAGAATCCTCAAAGACCTCTCTAAACATTTGGATGAAAAAATACCCTTTTGTCTGCATGTGAAGGCGAGACGTTACAGACAAAAAACATGTGTGGAAAGAAAACATCCAAAATACACATTGAAGTGTTTAGTTTACTTCTTTGTCGATTTGCATCTGTAGATTTCTCTTAAATTCACCTAAAGGCACCATTAGATAATGCTTCTTTTACATATTTAAATTGTATTTCAGAAAACTTGTAATATAAAATTGTCTTAATGTAAGTAATCAACTGGGGAAGTTTCATGCTGATATCTACTAGTTTTCTTTTGACCCTATTCACCTGTAGTGTCTTCAAAATGTCTGTAATTTAACTAAACATATCTTTAGAGGACGTTTTCTCCAAATGAGTTTTCTCTCAGACTCTGATCCATAACTCTCCACTTCAGTAGCTCTTACATACACCAAACTTTACACTTTCTTTCCTCTCTATATTCTGAAAGTTTCTACAGAGGGGTTTGTTCAGATATCATTCATAGCCTGAATTTTATTTCTAAAAATATGGCGGAAATAGATTTTTTTTCTGTGCTAAGTGTGTGTAAAGTGATAAAAAGATATATCTCAAATCCCCTCAGTAAAAACCTTTTGACTCTAATATGTCAACAAAATGAAACATGAATTCTGAACCTGGCTTTAACAGATGTTCAGATTTTTTGTTCTAGAAATGTATGTTAATAAGCGCATATTTAATATGACAATGCCTCATTTGCATGTTTAAACATACATTTTCAGAAAACCTGTGATACAAAAAGTCATTGTCTTAATGTAAGTAATCAGCTGGGAAAGTTTCTACTAGTCATTTTATTACCCTCGTCAGCTGTAGTGTCTCCCCCTTAAATAGACTCATCCTTTAGCAGACTACTCTGTTCCCAACTCCAAACACAGACAACAGCCAGAAATTACTCTTTGCATCAATATGTACAACGTGAACCAAAAAACTGTATTATCAGTTTTGGTCATAAATTGATGTTTCATTCCAACATGTTCTACTTTTCATACACAATAATATGCATCATGTGTTTTACTAGAAGAGACATTTCTGACTTGGGGTAAAAAGTGCAACATACAGAATCCTTTTTATTTTTTTCATCCAGAGGGTTAGAAGAATCTTTGAAGATTCTGGAAATACCTTCAGCACAGTGGCCAGTTTGATCAAACAACCTTGTGTTTTTTTTTGGGTTTTTTTTTCAAGATCGCCGGGTAATTATTTTTGGAAAAACTGGATGCTCGGCTGTGACTTGAATGTAAGGAGAAAAAAAACACACCCAGAAAAATATACAATGAAGGTGTTTCATTTCATAATGGAAATGTGATTCACAGGGTTAAATAAAAATAAACAGTAATAGTAATTCAACATGTGAATAATGATTTTGTCAGCTTAATTGAACGAGAAATATGGGCTGAAAAATGAGTGCAGTGAACGAGGGTTTGGCCTTTAACGAGCCTTTACATTACCGCTTGCTTTGTTTTTTTGTTTTTTTAACGCAGAGGGTCATTAGCATAAATGTCTGTGGTAACTGCACATGAGCTGCCAGGCTAAATGACTGGCTAAACCAGCTACACGCTCATTTCCAGAGAAATGGTGTGTGTAGTGTGTGTGTGTGTGTGTGTGTGTGTGTGTGTGTGGGGGGGGGGGAAGCAAGTGATAAATGCTCGGCCTTTGTTTTTGTGCTTCTGTATCTATACTGTGTGTTTACTGTGTTGCGGGGAATCTGTATAACAGCCTGTATGTACATTATATCGTACATGTTAGCTTACTGTAGTATGTGCATGCGTTGGTGTGCATGCACACTGGGATTGTTTATTTACTTGTGTGTGTGTGTACTGTTTGTGTATTTATCCTTGTCGTGTGTGGTCATATATTGGAAACCTTTTTTTTGTGTGTTTTGGTCTTTGTGTGAGTTTGTGTCGTGGTTTGTGTGAATGTTGCACACACATGCAGCCTTTTACTGGCACACGAATCAGACGTGTAATGATATATGAGGGTGTCTACTATAAATCCTGGTGTGTGAGTGTGTGTGTGAGTGAGTGAGTGAGTGAGTGTGTTTATCGGGGGAAAGGGGAGAACCTAATTTCTGCCAGCTGTGTGTGTGTGTGTGTGTGTGTGTGCGTGTGTGTGTGTGTGTGTGCGTGCGCGCACTCGTAGACCAGTAATGATGTGTGTCTCATACACGCTATGCAGATATGACGCGCGTGGCTCGTTGAGTGGACGCCGAGATTGAAGGGGGGGGGGGGGGGTGGTAGCTTCTAGACCATTAAGGCAGTCGACCCCTGCCGCCAAGCGGATCACTAATATTGCTTGCTTAGCATTTTCTGAGGGTAATAGGCCACATTGATTTTTTTCTTTTTTTTTTTTTTTTTTTTTTTTTTTGTTCTTTCCTGTTTTATTTACACAGGAGGGCCCCGCTGCTCCTCGTTAAACACAAATTGACTCCTAGATGGAGAGGACGGGGCTGTGTGGGGGGGAGGGGGTCAGAGAGCTGCGAGAGGACAGCTAATCAATTGCAAATTAGCGGGGCCGAAAGAGAAATGAAGCAAGCGAGGGGAGGGAGGAGGAGGAGGAGGGGAGGAGAGAAGGAAGTAATGAGACGTTTTGATGCTGAAGACTGGCAGCGTTTTCAATGAGAGGCTGACAACTCGTTAAACTGCAGCCGATAGGGAGATTTCTTTTTTCATTTCGAGGATTTCGGTCACGTAATGTCTCAGAAAATGCATTTAGAAGAATAAAGTACATCTGAACCTTTTTGAATTACAGAAAATACGATTTTAAAACACAGACAGGCAATTATTTCTTAATATTTTCTGATGGTTTACAAATAAACATCTTTCACATACAGCATATTGATGATTTTCAGATTCAGGTTTATCTTCTGTGTGTAACAACAGGTAAAATTGTGACCGTTTGTCTCAGTGGTTCCCAACCTATGGGTTGGGACCCCACAAGGGGGGTCACAAGATTAATCTAAGTGGTCCCGAGATGACGGATGGAATGTAGTTCGACGTTTCGGGAAATTCACTTCTCTTTGTTGAGCGTTAGATAAGAAGACCAAAACCACTTCCCGCATCTGTTTGGTAAATATGAAGCTACAACCAGCAGCCGGTTAGGTTAGCTTAGCATAGCTTAGCATAAAGACATAGGTGCTCATGGGTCGAGAGTATGGCCTTTGTTCCGATTGGTGAAATGAGACAAAAATCAACAAGAAATTATCTTTTATGTTGCAAATTGCTGCTAGCATGTAGCATGTACATTTGGTGAAGCAAGCCCGTGACAACTTTGATTGGGTGCAAAATAATAAGCACTAACTCTGCAGTCTGATGTCTGTAAAGCGTCCTTTGTTTTCTCCTCCCTGTCCCTCACTACCTATCTAACTGTGTCTTTCACACTCACACACACACACACACACACGCGCATACATACAGTCACAAGGGAATACAGCCTTTATATGGTGGGGTCCATTAGGTGTATTAGCTGGTGGTGAAAAGTGGTGCTGATGTGGTGCTTACAAAGCTCCACAGGGGAGATGGACATTTGATCTTCTATCTGACCCATTCTGACTCCGGGGCTCCTGCCTGATCTAATTTCTTTGTTGTTAAGAGTATTTGCATTCTTTTGGGCCACATCTTTGGAGATAAGTGCTTATTGCTGAGGTGTTTTTTTTGTGCTGCGCTAGCTACAAGATAGCAAGTAGGTGCTCTCAAGTAAATAATGAAAGCATATTCAGTGGCAAATACAGCCCTTTTTTACTGTCCATAAAAGTCAGGCGGTTAGTGCACGTTGTTGATCCGATCACAAGGGGCCAAACCATATAATAAGTTTGATGTTGCACAGCCGCTGCTCACTGATACCCCCCCCCTCCCTTTTTCAGGTGGAGCGTTTCTCCGGGCGACTCACACAGAGAGGGTCAAAGATAAATTCAGCGCAAATGATCTCGCCTCTGAGGTTCCCGGGCTTTATGTGACCGCAGAGTCCTCTAATCTGGCAATAAGCTTCCTGGATCGACCCGAGTTTGAGTCCTCACCTTAGAGGACTCTCTGGCAAGTCGTTTCTCGTTATTTATCGACTGTCGAGGCATGTGACAGGTCCGGGTCGAAGTCGAGGCCTGCTAGCTGCAGAACAACAAGCAAAAAAAAAATCTCTAGGTTTACACAAACCACAGGACACTTTTTGTGAAAAAAACAAAAGAAAAGAGAAGCCCTGCATTTTTGCTTTGGTCTCTGTATGAACAGACGTGTTTGGCCAAACATGCTGACATCCCCTGCACTCTGGCCGACAGTCACGATGGTCTGGCATTGATGTAAAATGTCACCTGAAATTGGTTGTGTTGCCTCGCGGGAGAAAAAAAAAAAAAGCATTTCCTTTTTCTGCTCCGGCGCTTTTGTTTCCTTTTCTGTGCCAACATCTCAGGTTTCACCT